TAAGATAAAACATCAGTGTAAAACTCATTTATAGGGTTAAATTCGTCCTTCAGCTGAATAGATAAGACGGTAAATCAACATCTAAAACCTTTTGCATGGCGTTAATAAAATTATCCCAAAAAATAGTCACACTCAAACATATGGTGCTAAGCAAAAGTTGAGTAGTATATATATCCTTTGGAACATCTATCTGGTCGATTACCCATACAGGTAATCGATGTATGACAAAAATACTTCGAAAGGTGATCCCGTTTCAATATGTTATGCAATCACAATGTACGCGAATACAAAATAATGCCAGCCTATTGTTTAAGTGCACAGTGCAAAACAATGTTAAAGTTAATTATTTAGATATTTGTAAACTAAAACTGTAAAACTAAGAGGACAAAAACAAACTAATGAATTAAAACCTACATACACAGGTGCAGACGACACCAAACGTTTAAAAACCCTGATCAAATTTCAAAATTTATAGTGACAGCTAAAAACATAATACTATTTGTAAACTTGACAGAAATGAGTCATGTTATAAGAGCTTGTGTTTTGAGGTTTTAATTGTCCTTTTGAATTTAGAATAAAGAAATAAATAAACAGGATATCAAAACCTTTTAGAAAAGGTTTTAACCAGAGCCTACCTTAGTTGGGTGTGCCAAAAATTATCTTTGAATTTACCTGGTGGCCCATCTTTAGACTTTTTCAAAATACAATCAAGGAAAACATTCTAACAAAGTTTAAATGACAAGTGTCTGTGATTTGAACAGGTGATCTTGTTTCAGTCCTCATATGCCCACTTTAAATTTCATTTAAACCAATGAAAAACGTTGCCTCTACTCTCTACCGTTAACAAAGTTTTAATTTGATCTTACCTGTTGACATAGTTTTTCTTAACAAAAATAAGTCTTGCTTAAACTCGAAAAGATATTATGAAAATCATTCTGATAAAAAAAGTGACCTCTAGTGTTTTTTTCCGTTATTTAAACAGTTGGACCAGGATTTAGACCCTAAATGACCAGTTACCAAAAGTGACCATAAAATCAAAAAGACTTATTTTGAGTAAATTTCAGTTAGAATTTGTTATCCGGAAATGGGAAAAAGTGGATTATTCCAAACTAATCATCAGATACAAACAAAATAATTTCAATCTGCACAACCTTCACAATAGATTAATTAGTCGATCTGTTTCGCTAATTTTCGAATCTGTGACTGTCAGTTTGTTTGTACCACCGGATTAGCTGGGGAAACCCAAAATGTTCTTAAATCCACAGTCACTCTACTGGCAAGAGATGACTCCCCTGTGTGATTATAAGGTTGTCAATTGATCTAAACTGGCCATCTAGTTTTTACGCCGTAATGACACATGTCCGAATTCGTTAAAACTAACCAGGAAACTCAAAATAAATCAACTTCAACAGATAGTCAATGAAAGATAATTTAAGACAAGAGCGATCAGTAATCACATGTGTCGCCTCATGATGGCCAATTTCATGTTGGGACAAATTTTGTGACAGACAGACGGACAGACAGACGGACAGTGCACAACTAGACTTGGTACTGATCATTCCTGTAAAGTTTGGATAAAATTGCACCAGTAGTTTATGAGGAGTAGTCCGGACAAGCTTTTGCGTATCTGGCCACACAGAAAAATACACATTTTTATCAAAGGGCCATAACTCGGCCAAAAATCATTCAACCAAAAAACCCGTGCAATATGCGCAAGGACTTGAGCTACAGATCAATCCTGTAAATTTTCATTGAAATTGCATTTGTGGTATAAGAGAAGTAGTCCGGGCAAACTTTAAAAATAAAAATTATTAAAGGGCCATAACTCTGACAAAAATCATTGAACCGGAAAATGCTGACAATATGCACAACTAGACTTGGTACTGATCATTCCTGTAAAGTTTGGATGAAATTGCACCAGTAGTTTATGAGGAGTAGTCCGGACAAGCTTTTGTGTATCTGGCAACACACAGAAAAAACACCTTTTTATCAAAGGGCCATAACTCGGCCAAAAATCATTCAACCGGAAAACCCGTGCAATATGCGCAAGGACTTGAGCTACAGATCAATCCTGTAAAGTTTCATTGAAATTGCATTAGTGGTATAAGAGAAGTAGTCCGGACAAACTTTAAAATTAAAAATTATTAAAGGGCCATAACTCTGACAAAAATCATTGAACCGGAAAATGCTAACAATATGCACAACTAGACTTGGTACTGATCATTCCTGTAAAGTTTGGATGAAATTGCACCAGTAGTTTATGAGGAGTAGTCCGGACAAGCTTTTGTGTATCTGGCAACACACAGAAAAAACACCTTTTTATCAAAGGGCCATAACTCGGCCAAAAATCATTCAACCGGAAAACCCGTGCAATATGCGCAAGGACTTGAGCTACAGATCAATCCTGTAAAGTTTCATTGAAATTGCATTAGTGGTATAAGAGAAGTAGTCCGGACAAACTTTAAAATTAAAAATTATTAAAGGGCCATAACTCTGACAAAAATCATTGAACCGGAAAATGCTAACAATATGCACAACTAGACTTGGTACTGATCATTCCTGTAAAGTTTGGATGAAATTGCACCAGTAGTTTATGAGGAGTAGTCCGGACAAGTTTTGTGACGGACGGACAGACGGACGTTCTCACAGGACAGTAATTATGTGGCTACTCTATTGTTCTTTTAAGCCACACAAAAGAAAATAGCCACATAAAAGCATTTTGGAATGAATGACATCAAAGAGAAAGAACAGTTACCTATTGTCCCTCTAGCCACATAATTACTGTCCTGCGAGTGCGGACAGACAGACGGACGGACGGACAGACAGACAGACGACGGAGAAGTGATCCCTATATGTCGCCACTACTCCGAAGAAGAAATTTTTAAATGTATACGTTCGTCATAACAGGTTGAGCTTTTGCCAATAGATGTTATCCGGAACCTGGCAAATTTGAGTTTTTTCCAGCTAATCCGTAGGTATAAATAAACTTTTACCTTTATAGCTTCACGGTGCACTGCAACAAATAGAAGCTAAATTTCGAAGCTGTAACTGTAAAAGTTTGTTTGTACCCACGGATTAGCTGGGGAAAAAACAAATATTCTTAATTTCGAATTAAGTATATTTATAGAGATGGCCTTGAGTTAAGTTCCTCATTAAAAGCTCTTGTGGTCCTTGTGGCCCTAAAAAATAGAAAAAAGAACAAAATAAAATTTCTTTTATATAACATTTTTTTATTCCATTTACAGAAAAAAAGTAATGAGTTTATATCAATCATAATGAACAACTTTTATTTCAAAATCAACAACTATTTTTATTAACAGTATCTACACATCACCTTTTTACATAACCAATACATTTGTAGCACATCACATAACGGACGTCGTATAGAATGACTAATCATTTATTTAGCTAAGTGGGGTTACAAAAATACTATCCTTTTTTAAAATATAATCTTCTGACAGGGAAATAAATAATAGAATTAACTTCCGTCTTTACCTTTGGTATGATTATAATAATCATTATATACATAATACAAGGAAATAAATAATTGAATAAACTTCCGTCTTTACCTTTGGTTACCATTAAAATAATCATTATTTACAATGACTTTACAGAGAAAAGTTTATTATGCTCAATTCTTTTTATATAAAATACTTTATCTTTTCAAGTGTATAAAGCTATATATTTGCTGTCTGTGGATTGTAACATTACTGTTTATATTGTAATTGAAATAATTACAGAATACTAAAAATGAAAGAATTTTATCGCAAGCCAGTAGGGTATGTGTGAAATCACCGATCAACCTACTACAAAAAGCAGCGGAAATTTTGAATTTTATTCCAGAACATTTTATTGTGAGAGACAATAAGAACAAAGAGGTATACTACATTTAAAACCATATAAGAGTAACAGGTCATTACCAGTGAAAAATATTTATGATCCAAGAGTTATGGGTCTTTACCAGTGAAAAATATTTATGATCCAAGAGTTATGGATCTTTACCAGTGAAATGTATTTATAATCCAAGAGTTACGGGTCTTTAACAGTGAAATATATATCATAAAAACAAAATTACCATGCTTATTTAACAAAACCTATGAACACCAAAAATCAAAATATAAATGCAAAAAAGTTTTATACAAACAAAACAAAAATACAACAACACAAAATATATATGGTAATAAAAAAAATAAAATTGTCCAATGTGACATTCGTTATGTATTGTGTGTAATGTTTACTTCTTCAAAAAAAAAAAGATGTGTGTGTATATAACTGTTGTAAAATGATAATTTATCATCTGCTTGTGTTGTCAGTCTTATCTTGTAACAAAACAAATCTGTCTTTAAATAACTTCAAACATCAAAGTGTCCAGTAATAAAGACACGAGACAAAGATCAACAAGGGAGGGAGAGAGAGAGGGGGGAGAGAGGGGGAGAGAGTGGGAGAGAGAGAGAGAGAGAGAGTGTAACGTTAACCGCACACAGGTCAATATATCCTAACAGGCAGGGGCAGATAATTGGGACAAGGGTGACCAAACAAACAGTATTTTATAACAATCATATTTGAAGGAAAAAAAATTGAGGCTAATAATTAATTACTTCATAATTATGATACATTTTTTAAGTTTGTAACTTAAAAAAATCTACTGCTTGAAAAAGGTGATTCAGTCAAAAACATATTAACAATTTGAAATGTATCAAGTAGTAAACATAATTGTAACATTATAATTATACATAATTGTAACATTATCAAAATTCATAATCACAACAACATTCAGACAGAAAATCTCAAAACTTTTGGTGAACAACTGTATCTGTAACTAAATTGTGACAATGTAAAAATCAAGCCTACCTGAAATGATCCTATTTATTCATATGCAACTAAACCTTGCAGACACAACTTCGGCAATTTAATATTGAAATAGGTTTGATATGTTAAATAAGGAAATAAGAGCCTACAACACCTGGATCGGACAAGTCAGCAACATTAAATCTGCAAACAAATGGTGACTTATTTATTTTGATTACACAAATCACAGATTAAATTTTACAAAAAAAAGAAAACAAAAAAACATCTCTTAAAATTTTACCCACAATTTCAAAAATAATAACTTTAAACGAGGTAAGAAATAGATACTATCAAATCAGAAAGAAACATGCAGAAAAATAACAAAAAGAAACTATCCCATAAATGAAACATTGCAAAAAGACAAAAAACAACCCCATCCTATATCAAATTTACAACAAAAAAAACATATACACTATTTTTACGACATGAAAGTAAACCTTCCTGTGCATTTTAACCATAATTGGGCTTCGTCTTGAAATAACAACTTCTAAATGATTATAATTCTAATTCAAGGGCCGACCTATGAATATTATAACAAAATGTGGAGAAAATTTGGTGCTATAGGTATTTAAAGCTATCATGTAAATTTTCATAAGTATTTTGAAAATGTATTTAAATGTAAGATATTGGGAAGGGGAACATGGCCAGCAATCTACTCACTGCAAACATCACTTATAATCCACTGAAATTACCATAAAAAGGTCAAAATATGCAAAAACAGACCTTACAGTTACTGCAATAGTCACACAGTAGAACTATGGTGATAAATACTTCAAAATCAGTCATTAACCGCACATAACATTTAAATTATTACTTGAATTGTGAATCTTTTTACTTTTTTACTTTTCTTTAGATCTTAGTACATTTTTCTTAAGTTTGATTTTCTTGAAATATTTTGGCTCATCTGGAGGCATGCAGGTAAGTTAACAGACAAAACTGCAAAGGGAGAGCATCCTACTAGCTGTAGATATGATGCTGGGAACCATACTGTCAGCTGAGACTCGGCACACTGGTCTAGTGTCTTAGGGAACACTTTTGACTACAAATATATGCATATAGGGTTGCAGGCTCAATTTCCTGCTACTGTTAACAGAACCACTTCAAAGTGTTTCAGAAGAGGTTTTTAAAAATCAAAGTCTCACATAATGGTGCCTTATTATGCTATGCTCATGAAAGAACCACTTTCATTCTGGAAATAGTGCAACTGATGTATTGGGTTGGTTAAAAAAGAAGAAGAAAGAAAATGGTGCCTAACATCATCTTTATAAAAGAACCAGTTTCTATCTGAAAATTGAGCTCAATTTTTGTATTTTTCAGTTAATTTTTTTTTTAATTAGAAACAGTATTCTAGAGCATGTGGCCTACATACATTTTTGTAGGTGACGGAAAAAAATATGTTTCTGTTGGTGAATATACATAGCAAGTACATCAGTATGTTCAATTGGCAGCCAAAGTACACACAAAGAAGTGATTGTTTACCACTTCCTACATGTCCATCCTGAGGATGTTCTAAGTTAAGTTATATATGAAAACACAGCTTGCTAAATTCTGTGTTAACAACTTAACACAATTTGACAGCATGTCAAACAAATCACTTCTGCATAATATACAAAATGTTTACAAACAAAGTACCAACTTGAAATAAGTTAATATAAATACGTGCATGTATAAATCAATACAAATAAATCATTAAATTTTAAACATAATTTTTTAATTCCATTAACATTATAATATTTAACCCCAGAAACTTTTACTACTTTTAAACTGAATCAATATATTTCACAAAAATTTACATTACTGTTCCTTTGTTGTGTCAAAAATAAATAATTACCATTTTTATAATTATTCTTTACTTAAACTGGAAAAATTTATCTCCCTTATATACAAATAGAAAATGATTATTATTATTATTTTGCCTTACCAAACCACCTTGTAGCATAGGATTTTTTTCTTTTTCTGGGAGTAAGATAGAAATTAAATGAATGGCAAACTAAAGCTAAAAAACACTTGACTAATTGACTTTTGCAACTATTCAAAACCTGTGATATCTGATACTATAACTTATAATTAAATAAACATTATGCATTACTTAAAGACATACATTACACATATACTGCTATTTAAATAACCTTCAAACAAGACTGTTTATAATACTATTACTATGAATTTTCAAAACAATGATCAACAAAATATTCTGATTAAAAAACAACCCAATATTGCATCCATTATATGTTAAAGCTTTTCTAAAAATTTCAAAAAACTTCATCATAACTTTATTATCCCTTAACCTGATTTCTTCTGTATATTTCACTTTCATACATGTTTAAATGATTTTAGTAAAACACATGTTCTGTTCATACACATATGTTGTGTCCTGTTTACAGATAACCATTGCATGATTTTTTCTGACCATTTTGTTATCATCACAGCTTTGAAATGTGTCAAATATGTAACAACAGCTTAGTGTTAGACATGGCCACCTGCTTTTGTATATGTTTGAGTGAATTTTCATAATTTATAGACATTTTAATAATTAATCATAATTACCGATATATTTAAATGTGTATTGGTTATTGATCGACAGAAAATATATCAGCGATACATCGATATTGTTTCCATTGATGACAGCTCTAATAATCATTGTTCTTCATCTTATTTACACTGGCAGTAACCCTCAGCTTCATGAAAATCCCCTAGTTCGTACAGTAATTCCCTGTACAATTACAGCCTTATTCCCACATCTATTTCAAGATTTAATTAAAGCTACAACAACTTTTCTTTCTATAGAAACCATAAACATATTACCGCATCAATTATCCCTGTACCAGACATAATTGTCTGCATACAAACGGTCAACACATAAAACTGTGTTAATTAATTAACAGTGAAATCGAAGTAATCGACCACCGGTTCAGATTTCAAAGCCTGTTTACTCTCCTTGCTGAGAGAGTCGTAATTAATAGTCCCTGTAGAGCAAATGTCCTCCAAGTCGGATTCAAACTTGTCTATTGTTGAGATAGCTGATTTTGATGTGGAAGCGGAGTTCGAGCTCGTCTTTTTCGTCTTCTTTCCTATCACCTGCCAGCCCTCGGGAGTGCTGGAGGACGATGATGGTTCACCTCCGAGAACCGATGTTGATTGTTTTGTTGCTAGGTTTGTCATCCTGGATAATTAAATAATCAACTTCTTTAAATTATTTAAATTTTTTCAGGAGGGATTCCGTTTTACATCGCACCAATGCATAACAGGTGTCACCGTCATATGGCCACTTTCCAGCTTTACTGGTGGAGAAAAAAAAACGCATAAGCCCCACTGTTAATTATTTCAGGAATAAACTTGCATATGAGTAAAGTCACAGACTGTTTGTAAGGTAGCTGGATAGCTTCCTCACATGAAAGAATCCATAGTCCCTGATGGGATTCGTACCCACAGCAGTAAGGGGCAAGTGGTTTGAAGTCAACAACCTTGACCACTCAGCCACAGATACCCCTTTTAAAATATTCAAATATTAGGTCAGTTCATTCTATAAATTTGGGCCTGTCTCCTGATAAATGCAAGTTTCAAAGCAATAACTTAAAAGAGTCAAGAAAATGGGTGGGGGGAGGGTAAACTTTTACATTAATGGGATGATGGTCGTAAAGAACCTTAAAAGTTGTAAAAGATAATTATAGAAGTAAACTAAAATTAACCAAAAGTTAATTTAAAGACCCTGTAACTCAAATTTTTTTATGGTTTTATATCATTAATATGATGCTGAAATAAAGAATTATCAATATTGCAAGTTCCAAAAAGCATTATTTGTAAAGATATTACCAAATTTACATTTTATGTAAATAAAGGGAGGTAATTAGAAATTTATTTTATATAAATTCTAAGCCAAAGTTTTCAATAAGAATTGAATGCATATATTTAATGATTACTTATAATGCATATAAACATTTGCAGTATATATTTAACGTATTCTTGGATGTTTGGAAATTTGTTTTAGAAGAATAATTGTATACATATATAAAATTTCGCTTAAGTGTGGTAACAACCTGAATTAAAACATACAGGATCTTCAAATGTTGCTACATCCTTAATTACAACACACAGGATCTTCAAACCATTTCCCATCGGAGCTAGGTACCAGCTTTATGTTATTGTACATGTATTATTTTGATACTGTCTATAATATCAACTTTTATTGAGTAATCATGACATGAAATAAAGCTATATACACAACTGCTACAAACTGAAATCATTTCCTTTCATTACCATAGAAAGCCATTATGAGTAATATCTGTTAGTTATATCAAAACTTTTGACTGGTTATATGGCTGTGTCTAAACAGTTGTTTGTTATATAACCCTCATCTGGCAGTTCAGGTTATATGAGCTTAAAATCATTTATACTGCACCATATAACCGGTCATAAAATTTTCATAACTATTCAAATATTAATAATACAAATAACTAATAAAAGCACTGTTTACCTGAGAGTGTCTTCTTTAAAGAGATGAGGTATTGGTGGTGGGGCTCGAGGGTGAAGCTCCCTCTGTACAAGGGCAGTCAGTGTTACCGACGGCAACCAACACTTATCCCTAGAACAAACATTACAATTTCACTTCAGTGATTTCTATATAAATAAGCAAAGTTTCAATATTTTGGTTAATATAGAATTTTTATTATAGTTTGATTGTCTAGGAAGCTAAAAGCTTACAGACACACTTTCGAATCTGTTCCTGGAGCTATTAGTACTAAGCAACGAGTGTAAAGTTTTTTGCTCAAGGAAACAACAACTTGCTCCTGACGACGGGGTTTGAACCAAGGCCGATAGCAGTCATTAGATTACTAGTCTATTGCATTTACCACACAGCCATGCCACAATTACTATATTTACTTATTTTGTTAAAGCATATAGTGGTTTTGATCCAGAATGATATGAATTTATACTACGTTCTTATACTTACAAAATACCAAACTTACCCTTTAAACTTATTGTTTATCAAAACAACATAAATATTGACAGAGAAATAAATGAAAAACACTAAAATATTGTTACCTTGGAGCTGTAGCCACTACATTTTTCTTTGGTTCATAATCATAACTCTGTGTCTGACAGCCGTAAAATTCCGCCAACTCATGCACAAGTTTTCTCTGGTTCATATTCATACTCGGGAATGCGTGACTCCTTGAGGGCTGCTTGGATTGTTTCGCAGACTGAACAAGATCAGCGAAGGCTTTCTCAATACCGGCTACAAACACTGGATCTTTTCTACAATACATTATAATGTATGTCTTGTTAGAAGTTTGTCAAAATCACCTCACCTGCTGGAGAAAAAGAGTTGCAAAGCATTGAGTAATATGAACCCAATTTCGTCACCTCTTATGATCATGAAGGGATACACATTGATAGGAATTCTGATGCAACTCTTCAGCCACAAGGAGGATGGAATAAATTGTAAATTTGTTTTAAAACTGAGAAAACAGTATAGAATATTGTTTATTTTATTAATTTCCAAACTTGTTAAAATAGTTCCAGACTTGGTGAATAGAAATATTTCAATCATACAGAAAAACCAGTATACTCTACAAAACTTTATTCTAATAATCTATCAAGTGATAACTCACAATTAAAAGTTGACTAATGATTATTATGTTCCATTGCAAATTTATGTAATATGTTTTTATATAAAGTGTAATACAATTTTTACTTACTTTGCTTGTTCCTTTAGGAAATCAGTATAAGATGGACTGCCCAGTTTGCTACTGAGGTCAGGATTCTGTATTTCTAGAGCGAGAGCAATACGTCTGTTCCTCTCTATTACAGCACATTCTTCATTACATTCCAGCCTTTAGAATATGACACAATAAAAATTTACAATGTATGCTTGATTCACTGAGTAATGTTCTGAAGTTTATTGATCTTAGTTTAAACGTATTTATTTTAGCTTGACTGCGTAACAAGTTCTTGCAACTTATATTAATCACTTTTGAGCCCTACTGTCTGGAACTAGCCAGAGATGGTGTAAAATGAGGAAATATTATCATGCCCCGGAGTAGGGCTCAAACCCATGATAAAGAGCATGTCTGCTAAACAGCTGAAGAAAGTAGCACTAAATGAGATTTTTTGTCATAAAAGTAGCAAATTGTAAAGATAAACAAAGAAGTATTTTGGCTTCCATACAAAATACTAAAATCACTATAAATGTATTAATTGTCAAAAGGCAGCAGAAGCAAAAGACGGTTCAGGTAATTGGCCAATGAGTAACTTTATGGAAACTATAACAGGTCACCAACATAGTAAGCTATCGAGAAATAAAAATAAAAGTATTACTGGGGAATAATGGGTCTTTAAAAAGGAATAAATATATACATACACACGAGCCTGTCCTTGTTTTATTTGATTAAGTTTGCTGATGTTAACAGATGAAGAAGCACCCATAATGCCCTGAATGGAATCTTTTAAACTTTGCATAGCCAATCTGAAACATGAAATATCATAATAATCAACATCAAATGATATTATTCTGAGAAGTTCCGACAACTTTAATCAACCTTTTGTAAAGAAGTATAGCCAAGTGTTTGCACAGTATCTTTGCATATTTTGACCTTCACTTGTTAACTTAAGTAAATTGTAAGTGCTGTTTGCAATGTGTAAATTATTGTCTTTGTTCACATCACAATATTTCCTTTTTAAAACATTTTTGAAATGCTAATGCAAATTCGTATGAATCCGAAGGCATGCTGCTTTAAAATCCCTACTCATATTCAAAAGAAAGACACGTGTGGCACACCTCACTTGCATCTCCAAACAATATTTCAAACACAAGTGGTTTCCATTAAATGAACAACTTTTCTGATTACCTTATTTCAAAACACCCGGCCGAATTCAAACTCACAACATTCAGGAATAAGCGATTTAAGTTGAACAACCTGATAATGTTCAGCTCTCACATTATCTCTTATAAATAGACTCAATCAAACCGAGTCTGCAATTTCATATTCATAAATATTGTTGTTTTCGTTGCTTCTGAGGGATATTTTTTTACCAAATTAGTAACAAAGGAACTTTATTACACATATAGGTAACCACAAACTGAGTCTGCAGATTTCATACAATATATAGAGAATATTTGTTTGCTTTGCATGTAAGATTGAAATATATTTTCACTGAGTGAACACCACTTTTCATGAGTGGCATAGCCACGAGTGAAAATATAAAAGCTGGTGTTCACGAATGAAATATATTTCAATCTTATATGTAAATCAAATAAATATTCTTTTTATTTCATGCTTATTAACTGTATTTGTAACGCTACAGTCTCACTTACATCCCGGCAGAGCCCCGGTAGATGTCCGGGGTGATCCGGGAACGACCGGGGTACATCCGTAACTCTGCCGGCAACGTCCTGGATGATCTGGGATGATCCTGGAACATCCGGCATTCGACCCCGGATGGAATAAAATATTTAATATCACCGGGGTGGTCCGGGATGATCCGGGAAGGTATAGCTTTGCCGGCTTCATCCTTAGCTCTGCCAGGAACGACCGGGGTTATACCGGGAAAGCACCGTAGCTCTGCCGACACAAACTGGGGATGATCCGGGGTATGATATAGCGGGTAGAGCAACGGTAGAGTCCCGATATATGCTGGTAGAGCCCCGGTAACTACAGGCAGAGCCCCTGAGGATAAAGGTAGAGCTACGGTTGATCCCGGTAGAGCCCCGGCAAAGCCTGGATCAATTAAAAGAATAACGACAATTTGCGATGATTGCACTTGTTTGTATTTAAAGCCTTCCCATTTCCCTTCTACCCAGTATGGCATAAGGATTTTTCACAAAATCATCATGAATTACTATTCTGGAACAATAGATATTATATTAAATAAAAATTACGAATCAATGTTATCATTTTCGGGCATTTTCAATCCACCGGGATTCTACCGGGAACGACCGGGGAAGCACCAGCATGAACCGTAGCTTCACCTGGGCTCTGCCTGGATGATCCGGAGCGCATCCTGGGTGGTTAGTAGGGAACTACCGTAGTGCTGCCTGGGTAAGTGTGACCGCAACAATAATTTCATCCCGGATCATCCCGGTAACTTACCGGGATGGTCCTGGGCTCTGCAGGGAGTAAGTGAGACCGAGGCTTTACTGATTTTGCCGCGTAACGTCACGCATTATCCTTTGGAATCATATCATGACATCACATCATCAATTTTGAAATATAGGACTGTTAAATTTCTCTAATTTTATTACATTTTTTATATGATGTATGATGACATCAACTTTCTTTTCCTAAAGAAGCAAAATTTACGCATGACGGCATTTATTTCTGCCTGTTATTCCATTTAGTTATGATTTTCTTTCCATCGGCATTCAGATATAGTCTTGCTACAGTGAAACTCATATTTTATAAATTTCACTAGTGGTTAATCAGAATATAATCATCTGATATATTACAATAAACACTGGAAAGCATGAAATAAATGTCGTTTCTCGTTGCTTCTGAGGGATCTCATATTTTTCAAGATTTTTTTTACCAATCAGCAAGTTTGTTACACGTATAGGTCACCAGGGACATAAAGTATTGATATATCTTACTTTTGATAGTCAGAGTCTGGAGAGATTCCGCCTGTAGAACACAGCGTCTCGCTCTCCTTATGTCCACATACACACTTCAATATCACCTGAATATATATATCATATTATATATAATATTTACTCTTTATAATTACAGTAATTTCATGTCAATATATAAAGCAAACTAATATCCTTTCACTATATACAATAGCAATGTCATAATATCTGTTGATTTTTTTAATTAAAACATTATTTTTCCACAAATGTTTGTGTACACTTACATTTATTGCAATATTTTAAAGGGTCTACTGCAATAAATAAATTTTCAGTTAATTAACTTTGAGTATATATTTTATACACCAAAACATGCACCCAATATGTATACTTTAATCATTTTAAAAACCAAAACATAAATAAATCGGAGTAAAAAAATTTTACATAATCAAATTGTAATCAAAGAAAACATTTGTGATCAAAAGATTGCTGGCTGCATGAGTTCAAACCCCTTCAGAGGCAAGCCATTGTTTCCGTGAGAAAGAAACTTTACGCTCATAGCTTAGTACTGGTTGATTCCAGGAACGGATTCAAGAGTGTTTTGATAAGCTTAAAGCTTCCCACACAATTGATCTAAAATAAGTAAGCATAAACTAAAACTTTTTGAACTAATGACATACACACCTTAGCCTTGCATGCAGTTTTAGGACATGGCGTATCTCCATGACACATAGCACCACAAATATGATCACATAGGTCACGTTTCTTCTGACAAGGCTGTTGACAAACCTGATCTTCTTCTAAACACGGACCCTAGAAATATATATTACACTATTTATTTTTTAATCCTAGTTAATAGTTCAAAGTAATTGACAAGCAATGCATTTAAATACTAGTAGCATATAATAAACCTGTGAAGCCGTAATATTTATATGTGAGATTATAAGGCTATTACATTGGCTGCTGGTACAGACTGAAATATCTAGCTCAAGGGTAACTGTTTACTGTGCTAACAAGGCTTTGCTAGATATTACTCATACTGTCTGTGACGATGTTTGATTCTTTTCCTTGCATATTACAAATAAATGATATTACTAAAAGAAATGCCGGAAAATAAGTATCATTTTCAATTTGCACTTTCTTCCTATAGTAACATATGAATTTACAACTTCATTCATAACGGCACAATAACCTCATTCAAAGAACCAATTCATTTATAAAAGGCATACGAGAATGATGTTATTCAAAGCACGCGACTTGTTTTACATTGGGGGATGTCAGACAGGTTTTTCTAGCACTGGTGTAAACATTACATAATCTTGTCTGATATGCAATCATGGGTATTACAACATATCAACAATGTTTAGCTTTGTATTGCCACTTTTCAGATGCACTAGCTGAAGGAAACAGTGTATACTTTCAGGTACAAAATTTGAATGACATTTATATTCAACTTAACAGATGCTTTGCACTACAAAATGTTTGTAAGAGCTGTCAAATACATTATTACATTGTGGCGGCGTGGCAGAAAGGTTACCCTATCAGACTAGTAATCTTAGGATTGCTAGCCGCTTGGGTTCAAACCCTTCAGGGACAAGCCATTGTTTCCTTGAGCAAGAAACTTAACACTCATTGCTAAGTACTAATAAGTTCCAGGAACAGATTCGATAGTGTTTCAATAGGCTTTAAGCTTCCAACACAATCAATCTAAAATAAATCTGTAGAATCTAAATACATTATTAACTAGAAAATCAAATGAGAAAACCATTCTGTAATATATAATAATTCTAACTCGATATAAGTCCTTCAATATGTAAGATTACCTTATGACAAGTTCTGATACAGGAATGTTCACCACATGGTAGAGGTTTACTACACTTCATACCACAAGATATATCTGTCAGATGACATGGTATGTTAGCTCTAGTCTGAAAATAGAAAAATAAAAAAGCATTTCAAACAAAAAAATCAATTTTTGTAGCATCAATTTATTATATACCTAACAAAGCTTTGTTAAGCTTTTTTTTTTCAAAGCCTCGATAATGGCCATGTTGACACTTCTTAAAATGGTTTAGATTTCTTTCACCAAATCCAACAAAAAATAAGTTCAGTTCAGTTTTTTGAAAAAAATAAATTACCTCCAATTCCCCCCTCCCCCCAAAAAAAACACCTGCACTATATACATGTATATATAAAAGAGGGACAGTTGAAGTGAAGGTTATTTCATATAAAAGTCATTTTGTATGTCGAGGTAACTACTTAAGCAATTCTAAATAAAGCTTTTGAATATGTTTGACGTGTCTAAGTATAAATGGTCTAGCTAAAAGAATGAAGTTCTACACTGATTATAGAGCAACTCCCTCCCAATCTATTGATTTGATACTGGGGCAAAAAAGTCATGATAACTCTAATCCTAAATACTTACGACATGATTCCCCATGCACATTTTTTTAGTAAGTTCTGTACAAGGAGGACATTTCTCCTCACTATGGCAATTATGTCGCACTGAAAATAACATATGTATATATAATTATAAAACCTCATCATATAGGACATATAAAAGAAATTACTATATTGTGATGTTAAGAACTTGGACATAATTATATCCATTTATATTATTTGTGAATCTTACTTGCAAATGAAAAATTAAAAATAATTAAAAATTGAAATAATTTTTTCAAACATTAATTTTGTCCAAGCTTTTAAGATATAAGGGAATCATGAATAAAATCATCAATAAATAAGTAGTCAAATGACAAATGTTTGTTTGTTTGTTTCTTTGATTGGGTTTTACGTCACACCGACACAGTATAGGTCATATGGCGGAAGACCTCAGGTGCCCCTCCTTGCATTATTTCAGGCATGAACGGGCACCTGAGTAGAACCACCAATGTTCCGTAAGCTAGCTGGATAGATTCCTCACATGAAAGAATCTCTGTCGGGATTCAAATGACAAATGAAATGTCAATAAGGGGTTCAACCCTGCAAAAAATCAATAAACAAGAACATGCTGCTCTTGGTAGTAACACTTTCTATGATAAAGAAATGCTGAATTCCAGTCAGTTGTTGAGGAGATGAAGTCCAAGCAAAATATCCTCGTTCAAGCTTTATCAAGAAGATTGAATATTGTTGGTCATTACCGTCAAAAGCCTGTTCTGTTTGGTACACAATTAACAGAGGGCGTGCCTTTGTGGTCATATACACAGTTTACTTTTACATACCTGTATGGTCACAGCTGTGTTGTCTGGTACATGGTTTAAAACACTCTGGAGGGTTGGTACCACAGGGGATAGGCGGGTATAACACCTCGGCCCCACAGTGACAGGTCAACTCATCAAATCCTGTAACAAAGCATATGATAAAATTCTAACTTTCTCTAAAACAATGGATCAACACTGACACAACTACCTATTAAACAAGAGGGCCATGATGGCCCTGAAGTCGCTCACCTGTATATAGCCCCCCCACTCCCCCCGGCAGGCCATTATAACCCAAGGGCTTTTATTTGAACAAACTTGGTAGACACCCATAAAAAGATGTTTCATGCTAAACATCTAAGCTCTAGCTCATTGGGTTCCTTGAAAGAACATTTTTTAAGTTTTTACAATGCACATACATGTATAGTTAATAAATGAAACCCCTGGGGCGGGGCCAGTTTTGACCACAGGGCTTTTATTTGAACAAACTTTATAGACACTTACTATTAGATGTTTCATGCTTAATATCTTATCTCTAGCTATATGGGTTTTTTCAAAGAAGATTTTTAAGTTTTTGCTATACACATATAAGGAAAATCAATGACCCCCAGGGCGCGGCCAATTTTGACCCCAGGGCTCTTATTTGAACATACTTGGTAGACACCCATTAGAACATGTTTCATGCTAAATATCTTAGCTCTAGCTCTTTGAGTTCTTTAAAAGAAGATTTTTTAAGTTTTTACTATATGCATATAGGGAAAATCAATGACCCCCTGGGGCGGGGCCAATTTTGACTCCAGGGCTTTTATTTGAACAAACTTGGTAGACACTCATTAGAAGATGTTTTACGCCAAATATCTAAGCTCTAGCTCTTTGGGTTCTTTAAAAGAAGATTTTTTAAGTTTTTACTATATGCATATAGGGAAAATCAATGACCCCCTGGGGCGGGGCCAGTTTTGACCCCAGGGCTTTTATTTGAACAAATTTGGTAAACACTCACTAGAAGATGTTTCATGCCAAATATCTAAGCTTTAGCTCTTACAGTTGTTTAAAAGAAGATATTTAAAGTTTTTTCTTTCGGTTGCCATGGCAACCAGAGTTCTGCATGGAATTAAATTCTTTGAACAATTTTTAAAGGTGGCCACCAAAGGAACATTCCTGTGAAGTTTGGATGAAATTGGCTTAGTGGTTTATGAGGAGATGTCATTTAAAGTAAAAGTTTACGGACGGACGCCGGATGAAAAGCGATCACATAAGCTCACCCTGTCACTTTGTAACAGGTGAGCTAAAAAACTTAAATAAGAGTTATTGCACTGATAGCAACAAACCTAAGCCAAAATCATACAGCTAGGTAAGTCATCATGTATAAGCAGTGATATGATTCTGTGCCGGTTCCAACTCAGTTTCAAAGTCTTTTTTATTGATATCACTTATATTAACATTTTGTAGTTTCGAAATCATAGTAAAAAAAAAAATTGTGGCATAAAAACATTACACAAATACTTCAAATTTACACTGCATCAAGTGACAAATTTAATTTTTTATGCTAACACTGACTCCTCAAATAAAGATGATCTAAAGGTTGAGTTTACTGATTTATTTACAGTAGCAAAATTTTAAGGACTTAATATGAATGTGCTACAGGACCATAAACCTTTCATTTCAAAGTACAATTATTTCTCACTTTTAAATCAGCCATGTCCAATTTAGAGTAACACCGTAGTAAGATCACATGTTCATGCTATAAATTAAAATATTTAATCCCTTGCTGATAATACTGAGCCAATTTCTTACAAATTCTTCTCAAAATGTGTTATTCATGTTCAGGGGCTGCAAAATAAATTGTCTGTATTGCCCAGGTTGTCTCACAGCCCGTACTGACAAGTGACTTGCTTTTCCAGAATTTACTTTATAAATATCATACAAACAAGTAAAGAAATATCTTCAGGAAAAAAATCAGATTTTGCCAGCCCTAATGTTGTATTTATGTCGGACAGCGCCTCAAATGTTTGCAAGATGATATCAAAGAATATTACAAAAACAGAATTTGCTGCAAAAAATATCTTACACATGAATTTATTGGTCAAAATTCATTTTTTCTTTCCAGATAAATACCAGTGTAAACTTACCAGCCATTAGACATGGAGGACAGTTGTTTTTATGGCACGGTTCCGTACATTTATGCAGACCACAAGGTAGTTTTCTACCACATACCAAGTCACAGGGATGCTCTTCTCTCTGTAATCAAATACACAGTGTTTTTTTTTTTCTTCAATATTTTCAATAATATTTACAACAGAAAGTGAATCAGTAGTTTTCTGAATTTTTTTTTTTTTTTTTTTTGTTCATACAAATTCATTTCAGTTCAGTTGTGTAGGAAACTATAAGCTTATTGAAACACTTTTAAATCCATTCCTGGAACCAACCAGTACTAAGCAATAAGAGTAAAGTATTCTTTCTCATGAAAACAGCTGCTGGCTCCTGGCAATGTTTGAAACCACATGGCCAGCAATCCGTAGAGTAATCCAACACATTAACCACTCGGCCATGCCAACACTAGCAAGAGTTAAGTAGTCATAAAAGAAAATTACAAAATCAAAAACAAAAATTTCTTGACTAACACAGACAAATTATAGACTTACAATACAGCATGGTTGTCCACATTTGTGTCTGCCGCAGGATTTCTTTCTATTGCACCTTTTATCACAGAGAAATTTATGATCTTTTTCTATACAAATAAAGAGGAAAAACAACTAAAATATACAACAATACATTTATACGACAATACATTTGTTCAGGTCCTATTTCCCAACTTTTAAACCTGCATGCCCTCAGATGAGCCAATTTTTTCAAGAAATTCAAACTTGAGAAAAATGTACTAAGACACGTTTTCAATATTTTCTTGAAAAATAGTATGAATCTGCAGGCATGCTGCTTTTAATAGAATGGCACAGTTGTATGTCTTAAACAAACTGTACACAATGTAGGGATGTCAAGGGGAAAAACTGTAAATTGGAAAAAAAATAACAGATCTTCTTTACTGTAAACTTTTCTTCTTAAGTGTATATTATAATCAAATAGTTTTATAACAAAATTCATGGAAGTTGTTCAGTCCGAGGCTCACAAATTATACTTTAATTCAACTACTGTCAATGAATTCAGTATGGCATCTACCCACTCATTCAATATCCTCTAAATTGACTCTTAAATGTTTGCTTGTTTGGTTTTACTGCACAGCAATATAGTTTAGGTCATATTGTTTCTTAAAACATTTTTTTTCCTTCAGGCTTACATGACACTAACACTGTCTTCATCAAATAGCAATATTCTACCTGTACTTTGATCTTAAATAAATTTATAAATTAATGAACAAGATATAAGATTTCTGCATGCATTTCAAAACCATCAATTTTTAAGTTCTTTTCAACGAATTTGACGTTTTTCTTGTGTCAGGTATCGAAAAATCATTATCAGTGAATAAAATGAAAAGAAATTGTACCAGTCATTTTAGCAATTTCTGAACACTTGAATTCCTTGTCCATGAAGAGACATTGACAAGATAGTAAGGTAGTTCCATTGCACGGCCCACATGGTCCCTCATGACATGTCCTCTCACATCTGTGCGGACTCCCTGAAAATAAACAGCATTGCATACTCATGTTAAGGACCGTCTGTTAAAATAAACCACTTTCGACAAAAAAGTTTTAAAAAAGGGGGCATAACTCCAAAAATATAGCTTTCAGAATTACTTAAGGTGCCCTCTATTAGATTATTTCAGGCACATATATAGCTTGGAGTTAAAACTTCTTTAAGTCTAAAAGTAAGGTATATAAATATCAAAGAGAAAGATTCTCCTAGAAAGATACTTACTATAAGTTGTTTTTTTCTTCTTCTTTGGGAGGAACAGAGGGGGTGGGGGCATTTATATTGAAGACAGAGCTGCTTTCAAACATATTGAATCATCTAAAATATGATAAAACAATTCTGACAAAGATGATCCTTTTTACATAATTATGATGTAGATGTTTCTCTGACCTTAATACCTGGTTTTATCAATTTCTTTACCCACAAAATCAGTTAATCATACCTGCAGGACCACAGTCTAACACTTTATTGCAAACAGCACCACAGGTTGGTACGGGGTCCAGGCAGCTGACCCTCGGCTCTGGACTCAGGTCTGTAAGTTTTTTAGCACCACAGGGGCAGTGTGAAGTATTTTTGGGCAGCAATGTGCAGCTATCACAGGCATGTATGTGACACGGTTTCTCACATTCGTGATTGCCACAGTCCAGTTTCCTACAATATAAATATAAGATTTAAAGCAGCACACCTCCAGATTCATGCTAATTTTCATGAAAATTTGAAAATGTATTTAACAGTATAATATTGTAAAGTTACCAAAAGAATGCAATTTACACATTATCAATGGCACTTACAACCTATGTAAATTACTATAAAGAGGTCAAAATATGCAAAAATAGCCCTTACTGCGTTAGTAACGCAGTAGAAATATAGTTATAAATACTGAAAAATTTGGTCATTAATCGCACATAACATGTAAATTTTTACTAGAATTTTGAATCTTTATACCTTTCCTAAAATCTTAGTACATTTTTCTCAGGTTTGATTTTAACGTAATACTTTTGCTCATCTGGAGGCGTGCAGCTTTAAGAGATGTTAGTAAATGCAACCATATAAAAGCCTATTAATGCAGCATGCCTCCAGGTTCATGCTAATTTTCATGAAAATGTATTTAGAAGTAAAATATTAAGAAGTGAACAAAAATAGTAATGTACACATTGCAATCTACGTAATTTACCAAATAAGAGGTCAAAATATGCAAAAATAGCCTCTACTGAGTTAGTCACTAATGACACGTAACAAGTAAATATTTACTTGAATTTTTTATTTTTCTTCAAATTTTAGTACATTTTTCTCATATCTAATTTTTTAAAAGTATTTTTGCTCATCTGGAGGTCACAGCTTTAACAGTCTAAATAAATTATTGTCAACAAAAACAAATTGGAATACTCAGCTCTTTTTATCCTACTAAACATGTGTGCCTTGACAAATGATAAAAGATGACACTCCATGTTATATTTTTGTAGAAACTGATTTCTGTCCTATTGTCTTTTTATACAGATATTTATGCTAATTGTTACAAAATACTGGGGGAATTTAGGAACATTGTAAATCAAAAATTAATATACATGTTGTGGCTGAAGGCAGAGTGGTTAACGTGCCAGACTAGTAATCTGTGGATCGCTAGCCGGGTGGGTTCAAAACCCCGTCAGGGGCAAACCGTTGTTACTTTGAGCAAGAAACTTTACACTTATTGTTGAGTACTGGTTGATTCCAGGAACGGATTCAAAAGTGTGTCTATAAGCTTATAGCTTCCTACACAATCTGTATAAATTCTGTATAAACCAAAATAAATTTAAAGAAGGTTAACATACTTTGAGCAAATACATTTACAACTGTAGGATTCAGTGAAAGATTCCTCACTCCCACAAACAACCTCTCTGTTTTCATGCTCCCCATAACACTCTGTAAAATAAAATTATATACCCATAACCATACATGACATATTTCCAGCCACCCAGATAGGGGGATTTGGCTTTAAAAAGCAGGGGATTTGGACAAAAAGTAGGGTTTTTTTAAGTAAAAGTAACTGAAGTATGTCAGAGTAACCAACAATGCAACTATAGGGGGATTTCCATCCCACGGCGGGAGACAATGTCGAAAATCAGGGATTTTGTCCCCCCAGCAGAATATATGGTATGTATGTGTAACCTTAGGAATTTCTTAAATGGACTTGTCCAATGTCATTTTTGGAACTGCCCATCAATATAATTTTGAGGATATCAACATTTGATCCTAGCCAGACTGCACAGATGTGCAGGCTGGTTAGACTCTATACTGTTAGCAAAGATTTTCTGAAAAACGTTGAAATTCTGGGCCCAAAACTGCATAAAAATTGATTATCAATTTAGTACAGAGTATTTTTGTGTCGCCTTGAAAAGGTGACATATAGGGGTTACTTTTGTCGGCGGTGTCGGCGGCGGCGGCGGCTGTGTCGGCGTCCCCTAAAGCTTGTCCGGAGCATATCTCAGTCACTATAAGTCTGATTGACTTCAAACTTGGTATGCATGCTTCTTTCAATAACCCGAAGTGGAGTGCACAAGGACCGGTACTCTGCAGTTCTTATTTTTTTAGTTATTGTCCTTTGTTAATTTTCATACTTTAATTTTGTCCGGGCCATTTCTCTTCAACTACAAAAGCTATGGACTTGAAACTTCATAGGCTGATAGATCTCATTAAGAAGAAATGCAGTGCACAAGAACCAGTACTCTGCACTTCCTAATTTTTTAGTTATTGCCCTTTGTTAATTTTCATACTTTATTTTTGTCCGGGCCATTTCTCCTAATGTATAAAAGCCATGGACTTGAAACTTCATAGGATGATAGGTCTCATTAAGAAGAAGTGCAGTGCACAAGAACTGGTACTCTGCATTTCTTATTTTTTGAGTTATTGCCCTTTGTTTATTTTTATACTTTAATTTTGTCCGGACCATTTCTCCTTAAGTATAAAAGCTATGGACTTGAAACTTCATAGGATGATAGATCTCATTATTAAGAAGTGCAGTGCACAAGAATCAGTACTCTGCATTTCTTAATTTTTGAGTTATGGCCCTTTGTTAATTTTCATACTTAATTTTTGTCCAGGCCATTTCTCTGAAAGTATAAAAGTTATGGACTTGAAACTTCATAGGATGATAGATCTCATTAAAAAAGAAGTGCAGTGCATAAGAAACTGATACTCTGCATTTCTTATTTTTTGAGTTATTGCCCTTTGTTGATTTTCTTACTTTATTTTTGTCCTGGTCATTTCTCCTCAAGTATGAAAGCTATGGACTTGAAACATCATAGAATGATAGATCTTATTGATAAGAAGTGCAGTGTACAGAAACTGCTGCTCTGCACTTATTATTTTCTTAGTTATTGCCCTTTGTTATTTTTCATATTTCATTTTTTTCCTGGCCATTTCCCCTAAACTACAGTGTTCACAAGGCGACACATCCGACTCGCGGAGTTCTAGTTACATATTATCTATTGCATAGTTTTTAATCTTAAGTACACCTGTTGACTTATAAAAGAATTTCAAATTTTATGATTTAAGGCTACATTGTATTGTACCTCAGTGGAGTTCCTTTATATTATAAAAGCAGACACATGAAATATCAAAATAATAGATGTTTAAAACAGCCAGGATGGTTGTATATTTCTTGATAACTTTAGACAAGCGTTAAAATTATCTTTGTTTCCCCTCCTGCGACCCATGCCAGTTTTGGAAGGGTAGGTAGGCCGATAAAATATCTTTTTATCAAAAATGACTTTTTTTCTATCAAAAAAATTAGATCGAGTTCAAAACGAATTGTGAATGTTTAGCATCTGTTTAAAGATTCAGTTTTATTCAATATATATCCCAGTTTGTATATTAACAATTATAAAACATGAGACGGACATAAAAATGTGATTCTCACTGACACTTGCTGCTGTCATGTTTAGTAACAAAATTTTTTTTCCTAGGCAATTACATTTTTTTGAGTAGCTGTGATTTTTGTGAGAAGGTAGCGGGAGGTGAAATTTTAGGCCTATAAAACTTCGCACATATGACACATTCTTACCTTGTACAATGACTTTCTCACATTTATCACAAGGTCCTGAATGGCACTTTGCTTGACAGAAATGACGTCCACAGTTCAACATTCTTTCACAGACTAGTTCACATTTGATAACTGTAGACTGACTGCATTTAGCTGATTGTCTGAAATATACAAAATATATTAGTTCTTTAGTTCTTTTTTTATCAATTTTAACATTATTTTATGGACTTGCCATGTAGTGAAATTAAAATGCCAGAAATGCTTTGATCTTTATTTTTCAAAAGATTTTAAAATTTAATGTCATGTCATATTTTTTTAAAAGTTACTCATTGGACAATTACCTGAACCATCTTCAACTTCTGCTGCTTTCTGGCAATTAGTACAGTTATAGGGATTTAGTATTTTGTATGGATGTCAAAATACTACATTATTTATACTTTTTTATTTTGACAAATAACTTCATATTTGGTGCTTATAAGCATCTAACATGCTCTAAGATCATTCTTTGAATGTTATAAAACTGATGCTTGTCCTCACTGAAGAAGGAAAAAAACCCATCTGTTTCTGAGGCATAATGTGCCTTTTATAATGAAAGAGATACAAAAACAAAATCTCAGCATTCAAAAACAAGCAGTATTGCTTAAACGCTATATAAATTGCCTGATAATTAGACAGTGAATTCAAAAGTTTGTCTTACCCTGGAATCTTAACAATAATGTAATGAGTGTCAACAAATGTAAATTTGAGAAATCTATTTGCATTATTATAACACTTAGAATAAATTATGCTTACTTTGTTTTCCCACAGTCACATGACTTTGTGATAGTGGCATTACAATCTGGACATGGACCAGGATGACATAGTCTGAAATAGAAAAACAAAAACATGTCAATTTTTAAAAAAATATCAAGTCTATTTATTAATGTTTTGATCAGGTTTTAGGTCACGTTGACAATAAAATGACGTCTTTACAGCTTTCCAAGTAAGACCTCATATGCCTCCGTTCATTATTTCAGGCATGAGTGCCCACCAGAATAGAAACACAACCTTCCATCTGAATGACATTCCCAATGAGCCTTTAATATTATGCAATTAAAAGAATAAGAAACTATATTAAAAAGTTTTACTTTAAGAGCCATGATGTACAAAATTTATGACAACTTTCATTATAAATCTGTAACAAATGACACACAAAGGAAAACAGTTGGTAATATTCATTTTTTTACCTGCTGCAATCTTAACAGACTCAAAACTGTCGGCTGTCCAACTTAAGATTTTCAGCGTGATATTCCAAAAATATAACCTCGACAAGTCAATTTAAGAAATTCAGCAGTTTTAGTAATCAATAACTTATAATAATATCTAAAAATAAAAAGATGGTAAATAGAAAGAAAAGAGATGTGAAAAAAAACAGACTTACATGTTACAAGGGTGTTTACAACCTTCTCCTCTATCTTTCTGACACACGTCTCCACAACTATGCGGTGTGTCCATACGACTCACCTCTGGATCTCGTACTTTACCTGTTGTACAACTTATTTTAAATTAAACTATCAATGTTTCACAAATAAAATTAATTTGTCATTACACTTTGTACTTATGCAGTCTAAGCAAATTTTATTCTTGAGTATTGTTTTTACCAATATATTTGATCAGACAGCACATTTTTTTTTCACAATTGGAATCTGTTTGAATAATGTTCAATTTTAATAAGCCAGTTAATTTTGGCAAAGTTTAACCTTTAAGTGATTGATTCAGACAAATATACTGCATGTACTCTTATTATCTAAGTCAAGTATGTCTAGTCAATACCTGGGTCTAGGCCCCTACACTATAACATTCTACATTGCCATGCAATGTTATCATTTAATACATTTTAGGACATAACATGAAATAAACATAAATTACTCCAGAGTTTAAGTAAACTTATTTACATGCAATAAAACTCATTTGCACAAATAATAAGAAAGAATAAAATTCAATATTCAATTACCACAAAAGCATCTATACTGATTAGGAAATTTGAAAGACAAGTTCTGGCATGCAGGACATCTCCAACCGTCTTTCTCTGTTCCCGACACAACAGCGTTCGGAGATTTCGCCCATTTCTTGATGCAACGGAGATGAAAGACGTGGTAACAGTTACTACAGCTCCAGACAGCATTGCTGGCGCGCACCGACTCACAACAAACCATACACTCATAGCTACCTTTACTTAGTTGTTCTATCAATGTACCTATAAATAGTAAAAACAAATCATTTGTTAAACTAAAGTTAAACTAAAGTGTGTTAGAAACTTCTAGGCAATGTTCACTAAGGGTCAAAACCATCTCACCTGCTGGAGCATAGAGATGCATAGACTTCAGTTATTTGAACCCATTTAGTCACATCTTACAATCATGCAGGGATAAACAGAGGCTGCAATTCTGATGCCTCAACCATTAAATGCAAAAAAACAGTGTATATCAGTCGATAAGATTAAATGACAGTGCAATTTCAGAATGACAGAGTTTAGTATACTAGTATATCCACTTAATTTGACTGGTATACATTTATATCAGAAAGAAGTTTCAATTCTATACTTTAACTACAACTTGTACAAGTTCAACTTCAATAATGTATAAAAAAAAGTTTCCATTGTTTTTAAAACTTCCAGCTATGGCAGTTGACTACAATTCTTCTTAATTTCATCAGTGATCATCTGAGATTGTATTTTTTCCAGAAAAAAATTTAAAAAAAATTCCTGTCTAGTCACCTACAACAAAATGTTAATTTGAAAAGTTACCTCTTTGACTTTCATCCACTTTGCCTTTCTGTTTAAACCTTGACCCTCTCTGTGGTCCATTATTCTTTGATTTTCTTTGAGCATCTCTCACATTCTTACTTCCCTGTATATCACCAGCACTATCATCATCATCCTTAGACGCTGTTTCTTGATCTTGATTCTCACTTCCGTCACCAGTTACTTCTACAGTAAGTTTGGTCCTATCACCACCTCTTTCTATTGCCTGAGAATTGTATTCTTTATGTCTTTTATTGTAGTCCTGACCTCTATAATTATACCTATCATATGCATTTCTTGGGCTGTTTGACTGATTTGGCTTCATTTGCCACTCTCTCGGACTATTTGACGAGGAATAAACCTGGTATTCTTTCTTTTTCTTCCGGTCCTTCCCATTACCATCAGATTTACCACTGGCATCATTCACCGGAGAACTTGCATCGTTTCTGTCACTTTCACCAAAATCTTTTGAAACTTTATCATTACTTTCATTATTTTTGCTGTCACTGTGACTCTTATCTGTTCCATAACTCTTTGACCCATTTCTTCCGCCTTCCTGAACATTTTTTCTATCTTTTTCAGAATATCTGTCTCTCCTATTATCAAAATTATTCCTTGAATCTCTATAAGACTTCGGCCTTGCTCCCGATTCGGTATCTTCAGACAATTTACCTTCATCTTTTGCTACATCCCAATCATTTACACTGCTATTATTTCTATCTCCTTTATCATACCTTTGGTTCCTATCATAGCCCTTCTGTCTGTCTAATGCTTGTTGCCTACTATCAAACTTCTTTGTCCGAGAATCAGTCCCTTGAAACCTACCCCCTCTATTCCTAGATTTATCCTGCCCTTTAAAATCTGTTGCATCATTAGAATTTTCTGTTGAAGACTCTTTATTAATCAAATTAACTCCACTTACTTCATCTGAATCAGTTTCCTTATGTGAAACAATATTTGCTTCCATGGCATTATTATTAGAATTTTCGGTATCATATGATGAGATGTTATGTCGAACTTCTGGTCTTTGTCTATTTTTAGACCTATTCTGTGAATAAGAATGTTTACTTCTGGACGACACAGACTGCCTACCGTAGGCTGTTTGACCATCATAATTAACCAAACCTTGTTGCTGATTGTAAACAAAACCATTATCATACTGGTTGTAGTAGTTATAATTCATCCCTTGTTGAGGATATCCACCGTACATTGCTTGTTGCACAGGTTGGTAACCTTGCGGCTGCCACTGCCATGTACCATACTGTTGACCTTGTTGGTAAAAATCAGCCTGAAATATTTACAACTTAATTTTAGTCACATTAAAAGATCAAAATGTAAGATATCATCTAAGTTAAGTTAGTATCAAGAAGACAGTAAAACCTATTATAACCAGAAATAAAATAATCGTAGTTTCAATTTCAGACTACCAGTTATTCATTCCAGACATAAACTTGTAACAACTTTTTGTCTATTTCCAAATGATACTTTGTTACAGATGCTTGAAAGGTTGAAGAAGAAATGCCCTTCAATATTCAACAAACTACATGTATCAGTTCTGTAAGTAAACATTTGAAGCTTAATTCAGAAAAGAAACCATGTCTTGTACTTCCAAAAAACAAGCAGTTGATTGTAATATAATAGCTGTTAATACAATAAAAACCACAAGGCAAAAAATTTATAAGATGTAGACCGTACAAATCAAGATATACGGACTGACGGAGTCACAATTACACCAAACTGTATGCCAAAAGTGGCGACTAAGTCAAGCTCACCGCAAGCGGACTCAACATTAAACTGTCGGACCACAAGGAAGAAAATGTCATACCTGTTGCATATTCGGGTCTATATAATACATCTGATTGGGGTCATAACTATAACCGTAACCATTCTCATCTGTGTAATGGTGGCCTTCCATCCTTCTATCCTGTATGAAAATAATAATTCACGGTAAATGCAGATATCAATTTTGATTTCCTACTTTAACAATATTCAATATTACATTAAGTTTCACAAGTCTTCCACTTTATCATAGAATGAAATTCTTCAGCTCTAGGGTTTAATAAAACTGAAAGCATTACCAAACCATAGATACATAACAAAAAACTTACACTTAATAAAGGTTGATAGGCGTATCATTATGGAATATCAAAAGTAAATTTAGAATATTATTTTTCATGACATTAATTATTGGCCAAAACAAGCTTTAACAGTTCGAGTCATGGTTGTATATCATTTCATAACAAGAAAGTTACTTGGTGCCATAATGATTATTAAAGACATAAAGTGGGGCGAATCATCAGTGAACAGGGGCGGATCGTTATCAGTTAAAATATTGGTAAATGATTACTTAAAATGACCAATTACTTAAAGATACATAAAAAGAACATTTCTGTTCGCAAATATGCATAAAAATAAATTTCATCCAATTTTTTATAATGTCAATAACTTGAAGTATGTTATGTAATGATTATATTGAAGAGCGGCTAATTGTCACTGATCTAAATCAAAATGTCACTAAAGTCATTATGTGGTGAAACGTCATTCGGGCGAAATAATTATCAAATCGTCTAGATCTTATTTATATTTTGTAAAATGAATTTTGTCACATGATTCTAACATGATTGAAATGACAAAGTAATAATTTGTAAATGATTAAATTAAATGTACAAAATACAGTCAGTAATTAAACATCCAATATTTTTTAAATGCCAATACCCTGATTAACACATAAACTTCTACAATTATAATAAAATCCTAACCTGTAGATGCAGTTTTAAAAAACTTCGAGGTGGCATAATTTTTTCAGAAATGTTGATATAAATTTTTCCAGAAATTGAAAATTTACTGAATGCAATTCGTGTAACAGTAGTTTTAGTTTCAACGTAAATATCATAGTGACATGTAGCAGCTATTGTGACACATTTATAGTTACCTAAAGAGTTAATTTTAGACCGAAACTGGCGAAATTCTCCAGACGTGTTGAGCAATAATTCGTCGGCAACCACAGCAGTCTGTAACAATTATTTTCAACGAAATATGTCAAATTTTATAAACTCCAGAAAAAGATTTTACTCAAATAGAATAAATATGTTAAATTGAAATTTAAATTCAAAGTTGTGTGCTAAAATTTCAATATTCGGTATAAATAAAATAAACATGAATATTAAATTATTTCGTTTAATAATATTTCGGCTGTATCCAAAAACTGCCAGCAATCGGCTTTTACAATTTTTTTAGAAATATATATTGACTGGAGAGAATAATGTAAGGTATAATATTTGATTTTGATATAAGAATGATTTTTTTATCGACTGTTTCTTTTGTAATGGGGTGTCATGCTTAAATTTTAAAGTTGCAGCTAAATGTCATCAGTTTTCGCGAGCAAAATTGTGATAATTTTCACCTGGGCAAGATCATTGAAAAACCCAAAATCAGAGTCTATTCAAGTGTTCGAAACAATTGGGGATTTTTTTTATAAAAAAGTGAGAATTTATTTCATTTGTTGATCTTTTTCCTTCTTTCTCTTAGTAAAATTTTCCCCCTTCCTCTGAAAAAATAAGGGGAAATTCTCAAAAATATGAGATAATCCCCCATCCCCCCTCCTACAATAGACACTGAAAGTAAGTTCCGCAATCATTGTAACAATTTAATAATTAAGTCAATGTATTTATGCAATAAAACTTTACTTCTGCTGCAATGTTCGAATTTTGAAAAAATAATGCTTCCAAACAGGCTTGTATGAAATAAATTTGGTAGTGAAGTGCCTTTTAAGTGAATGGCGCATCCACAAGGTAATATAATAATTCTCCCCAGGTGTATTACAAGTGAAGTTTGGTAGTTTCCTGCTGTATAACCCTGTGTATTTACCCCATAATTTGGCATAAAAGGTATGAGAGGGTCGGCATCATCCCCCTCATACATTATATATTTTATATATGCAGTGTTCTAAATTAGCAGTAGTCCTATAGCCCCTGACTACTAAATTTTTCCTCGGGCTACCAACTTTTCACAGTAACAAGCCCGACCAGGCTACTGTATTTTCAGAGGCAATATAAACAACTGTTTTGAACAAATGAATTGTGCTAGTGAAATGCCTGTTGGGCTAGCGAATATTTCAATCTGGTAGTCCGACCAGCCTAGTGGATTCAAATCCTAATTTCTTACACTGTATATGTCATGGTTAAGAACTAGTCAAAATATATTGACGTGCCAAAGCTTGATTCTGAGATATTTTCGTTCTGGGGCAGAATCTCGCTTTAACGAGGCGAGATATTGCCCAGACACGAAAATAGCACTATATCTCATTGCGCAGTACAATTAGTTGGACTATACAGACTGTGCCGATTTTTACGGCGAAAAAATAAAATTAGAAATACAAACACAAGTTGTTTTTTTTATATTGATTAATTTCATTCGGTCTGACAGATTTCGTTTCGGTCTGACAGATTTTCATGGTTTGTCAGACCAAATGTCTGACACTTTTTTTAACTTTTGGGAAGTCTGTAAATTGTAATAATATACATAACATTTATTTCCTCTTCTTTTATTGGTTTAACTTTTATTTTATTTCAGTTTGCTTTAGATGTGTCTAATTAAGAACCATCTTAATGTGAATGAAGTTATTGCAATGGCAGGTGAAAGTAGTCAAGTGACACTTACCGTTCGTCTTATTAGATCATTTGAGCATCGTATCATCAAGCATGTTGTGTACCATGATGTTAATCTAGATCAGATAGTATCTGACTTCAAACAGTATGTGAAGACAGGTAATGATTACAATTATGATTCTTTGAGATAACATGCAGAGTGGCATACTGCACTTGTACATTATAAGTGAGGCTGGATCTGTATTGTTGGCAGCCTTAACAGGCTTATTATCTCAGAATTGTCTTTCAATCTTATTCATTCTTTCAAGGATTTTTGTTTTTAAAAAGTGCTGAATTGCAAACAGTGTAGACCATGATCACACAGCCTAACCTTGGTCTGCACTAAGATAAGATAAGTTTCATTACAAGTTGGCAAGTTTACAACAGTAGAGCTTTCATAACCTACTGTTCCCATTGGTAGATTCAAAGTCAGTATTAATGCTATATTCTATACATTGTATATATCTATCTATATATTATATTAATAATACTATTTTTAATACAACCTTTGGTTTTTACATGAATATGTAAAGGAATACAAAAACATCATAGATGTTAATATAATTACGTGAAAACAATGTAATAGTTAAAAATAGTTGTAAGTGCTTACAACAGTGAACTTAGAAGCACTCAGTTCAAAATTGCATGAGAAAGAAGCTGTCAATAATAGATAATGCATTTTTCTATAAATTACCTAACTATACAGTCATGTATTATTTGTTGTAAGACTTTTTAGTGCACACTATAAAATTTTTTTACATTTAGAACTGAAAACACATGCTGGTCTTCCACCCCCAGTCAAGACTCATAATTATGGTAAGTTGCTGTGACAACAATTCTAGCTATTTCTTCTAGCTTTTAATTGAATACAAACAAATGCTGTTTCGACTCACTTCATAGGGGTCTCAAGGCCAAGTAGTTGAGGTCATTGGCATCATACCACTTGCCCCTGTCACGGGTTCAAATCCTGACAGGGATTTAAGATTATTTCATGTGAGGAAGCTATCCAGCTACCTTGCAAAACAAAACCTTGATGGTTCTGCTCAGGTGCCAGTTTGTGCCTCAAGGCACACAAGGGTTTTTTCCACAACAACAAAAGAAGGGATTCATTTCATGTATCTATATAATTTAAAATACAAAACATTTATTTTTTTTAAATGTTTATAATTATTTCAGCTTGATGATAAGGAAAAAAATTTCCTTCAAAACTGAGCATTTACATATACTAATGTTTAAGTATAATATTAAAAAAAATATAATTGTGACCTCAGTAGAGCACAAACCCTGTGATAGACCCCTACCTTAACCACCAAATGAGTCTCTGCTCATGTGTTCTGTTCATCTGATGTTGTTTCAAATTCTAGAAAACATTAAGATTGATTTAAACACTTAACATAATTCTTCCTATGTTTTGCAGATACAATGAAAATTTCCCATCAGCCTTTTGGAGCCAAGGTATTATTTTTTTTCATCACTTTCTGTTACAGTTATAAACTTAATAAATTTTGAATTTATAGGTAATTACAAAGTAGGGCAAATAATCTTTTCCAACAGGATTTAGTAAAAGATTAGGATTATAAAAGGGACTCTACCGAGGCTTTTCGAGATGACGGGACTGGAAATAATTTTTCTAGATTAATGTTTGATTTGATGTAGGCACAGACCAATAACTTGTGTTCAAAATTTCACATCATTCGCATACTCCAGAATAATTATTCTAATTGAAGAAAATACCAAAAATTGAAAAGCATTGCAATGCGTCGCAATTTGTCAAGGAACATCACATTAAAATGATTTTCAATTTATTTTTTTTAGTATATTTCTTAATTATCTTTTGCATACCTTTCTGTTTTAAGTGCCCCAGCTAATTTGTAAGAAATTAAAATATTATGTTTTAGGCCTTTGAACCTTAGTTGAGTTCCTTTAATTATAAACAATTTAATTATGTTGGACCATGTTCAAATACACACCTTATTGAATTGGTATGCAGGAAACATTAAATATAACCCGTTATAACTATACAATGTTGTTAAATTAGACCTATTTTTCATTTATAATTGTTGAAGAGACCATTTTCCCAGAAGTTCAGGATATAGAGCATAGAGTAAAACCCTTTTTAAAACAGGCCTCACATGTTAGTATTTTTGCACATGCGCGCAAGGACGGAATCCCCCAAAGTTTACAAGGTCATGTTTTGACAACGCACATATGAAGTAATTTGAAATGAAAACTTCTTATTATATGCTGCGGAACTGACACTTAGATTTTGTTACCTTGCAAGTTCATGAATAAATTTCAAGATCAATATTTCAGTCATAATACTTCATTGTTAATTACCTGCAGTGCTATTATATTAATTTATTGATAGTCTTGTTTAGTCAGTTACATTAATTGATTTTCCCTCAGCTGGAAAGTTGCCATAATTTTTATGACCTTTACAGTGTTTGTTCGAAATAACCTAAAGGGGGAAAAAATAAAAAAACTAGAACTATCACTAAATGTGATTAATACACCCCCCAGACTGCTTTGGAAAAGAGGATGTTACTAGTAACAGAATACCTTGTGAAAGAATTGAAATAGAGTTATAGTTGTGGGCAATTAAAGATAGTTGTGGATCTTGTATGTTGCATTTCCGTTCAATGTGGTTGGCCATTGATGAAGTTTTCCAGAAAGACAAGGAAAAGGAACAAAGGGCAATAACTCTATAAATACTGAAGATTAGTCCAAATAGAGTTATGGTTCTTGTGCACTGCACTTCATCTCACTGCCCTTCACCATTGTATAAAGTTTCATTGAATTCCAACCATTAATTTTCAAGTTATGCACTGGACAATAAAAAGTAACAAAGGGCAAAAACTTTTAAATGAGTCAAGAAAGAGTTATGGTTTCTGTGCACTGTACTTCCTCTCAATATACTTAACCATTGTATGAAATAGTATTGAATTCCAACTAGTAGTTTTCAAGTTATGCTCTGGACAAGAAAAAAGCAATGAAAAGTAACAAAGGGCAATAACTCTATAATTACTTTGGACAGAGTTATATTTCTTGTGCACTGCACTTCCTCCTATTGTGCTTGACCATTGTATGAAGTTATATTGAATTCCAACCATTTATCTTCAAGTTATGCTCCGCACAAAAAAGCAATGGAAAAGTAACAAAGGGCAATAACTCTGTAATTAGTCAAGATGGAGTTATGGTTCTTGTGCACTGCACTTCCCCTTATTGTGCTAGACCATTGTATGAGGTTGTTTTGAATTCCAACCAGTTCTTTTCAAGTTATGCTCCGGACAAGGAAAAGTAACAAAGGGCAATAACTCTGTAATTAGTCAAGATGGAGTTATGGTTCTTGTGAACTGCACTTCCTCTCAATGTGCTTGACCATTTTATGAAGTTATAATGAATTCCAACTATTAGTTTTCAAGTAATGCTCCGGTCTAGGAAAATGCAACAGACCGCTGGACCGACCGACCAACCGACCACCGGATGACTCCTATATACATAAATATTACAGGAAATTCTTAACTTCTCTTATACTTGTTGCAGACAGCAGATCCTGTGATAAATAAAGAAAATGATGAAGAACTGATGCTGATAGATAACAAAACATTGAAGGAATGTGGAGTAGGTATGTCTAGCAAATGATTTATTTTATTCCATAACCTATGTTCACAGAGATCGAAAATTTCACCTGTCCGAATTCAATACAGGACGAGTAGAAAATTGATGCTACTCGTCCTGCAGTACTAGTGACTGAAAGTAATTTTCGATGTCTGGTTCACCACCATGTTGCCCACATGAAATGGTTTATAGGTGAAGGTCTCATTTAGAGGTAAGACAATCCCATTAAAATCAGATCATTGTTTTCGCTCCGTTACTCTTCGCTACTTAGTGAAGGGTAGTGGAGCGACAGTTAGGACATGACTTTAACGTGATTGGAGGTAAGAGAAAATGCATGATTTGTTTGTTTGTTTGATTGGGTTTAACGTCACATCTACACAGTATAGGTCATATTGCCACGTTCCAGCTTTACTGGTGGAGGAAGACCTCAGGTGCCCCTCCGGGCATTATTTCAGGCATGAACAGGCACCTGAGTAGAAAATGCAATAAACGAAACCTCCGCTTACAATTATAATTTTGTACAGATGTTCACCAATAAGAGCCACATTGTCCCTGCGGCCAAGGCTTCACTATGTTTACTTAACATATTGTTTTTGCCTTAGCCCTCTTTCTGTCCATCCGTCCGGTTGTCTGTCCGCATCAAGCTTGTCCGGCCTTCACAGGTCCAACTACTGGTGGGATTGCAACCAAACTTTACTGGAGTAATCAGAACCATCCCAAGATGTGCACATCACCTTATCCAAGACCCATAACTCTAAAACGGATTTTGACAGAATTGTAATCTTTTGAAATTTCTACATTATCCAGGTTCTTGTTTTACTATCAAGCACTAAGAATAGTCAAGCATACTGTCTTATTAACAACTCTTGTTTGTATTTTTCAGTGAATGAAACAGAACTGTCCTTTTTCAACCTCGAAGAGTATCGTACCTATCAGAGTAATCCGGTCCTGAACTGGTGATAGTACAAGCCTCGGCGAAGCAACATTTTTTCCCGAGGCAAAGATTTTGTGCCATATTATGATATATATTGGACACAGGTGTCTAGCTCGAAACAGCTAATGGAATGTTGAACGTTGAAGCTTAACAAAATTTAAACTGAGCTCAATTAGTTTTTGATAAAAAGGATAATATTACGCACTTTACATTTTATCCAAGGTCTATTGTGCTGAAAAGTTGAAGCTGCTCATCATATATTAACTGCAATCTTACTAGGATAAAATATTCTTGGTATTGATATTAATCATACTTTATATTCATAGTGGTACCACCTTCTGTGTACATTCTGTAGTTGGTCTTTGATATGAATGGATGTAATGTTATTTCATGATTTGAGCCGAGAGACAAATTGCAAGTGAACTTTAAGCTCAGTATCTTATGGTAAATTTTTAGTACAGCCGAGCACGGGGATGTTCTTTTGTGATGTTAAACCTCTATGCTAATGAATGTTTTATAAACCTCTGCTATTAAATTTTTATATAGAGGCAAACCTCTATGCTATTGAATGTTTATAAAGGGGCAAACCTCTATGCTATTGAATGTTTATAAAGAGGCGAACCTCTATGCTATTGAATGTTTATAAAGAGGCGAACCTCTATGCCTTTGAATGTTTATAAAGAGGCGAACCTCTATGCTATTGATTGTTTATATAGAGGCAAACCTCTATGCTATTGAATGTTTATAGAGGCGAACCTCTATGTTATTGAATGTTTATAAAGAGGCAAACCTCTATGCCTTTGAATGTTTATATAGAGGCAAACGTCTATGTTATTGAAAGTTTATAGAGGCAAACCACTATGCTATTGAATGTTTATAAAGAGGCGGACCTCTATGCCTTTGAATGTTTTTATAGAGGCAAACCTCTATGCTATTGAATGTTTATAAAGAGGCGAACCTCTATGCCTTTGAATGTTTATATAAAGGCAAACCTCTGTGCCTTTGAATGTTTATAAAGAGGTGAACCTCTATGCTATTGAATGTTTATAAAGAGGCTTACCTCTATGCTATTGAATGTTTATAAAGAGGCTAACCTCTATGCTATTGAATGTTTATAAAGAGGCTAACCTCTATGCTATTGAATGTTTATATAGAGATTATTACAGACTGTTTAACCTCTGTACTATTGAATGTTTTTGTATAGCATTTTTATTCGAAATTTCCCTTCTTGAAGTGAGTGTTTAACTCAGAAAGGTTAATTGGTACTGAATTTTCCCTTTCAAAGACAAGCCTACGTACCTATTGAACATTTTGAATTTTTATTTACTTTTTAAAGATTTTACTTCATGTTTTAGTTATGTTTGTTATTTACATGGCACTAATTGTGTAAAGTATTTTATACAATAAAATATGATAAGATAAACATATTGTTGTTTTGAATTGGTGTCAATCAACATAGATTGTAGGTAGAGCTGTCATTGATTCAGTGCAAAGCATATCAACGATATAGCGATATCGGAAGACAAATATCAACAATACACCTATATATCAATAATTACCTATAATTACTTGTCCGTCCTTCACTTTCATACCTGTTTAAATGATTGTTCTGTTCCTTGTCTTTTGTATAAATGCCCATTGCATGATTTTATTTCCTGACCATTTTTTGTCATCATTGCTATGAAATGTGTCCATAATGTAACAACAGCTTAGTGTTAGACATGGACACCTGCTTCTGTATAATGTTTTGGGTGAATTTTCATAATTTATAGACATTAAAATAGTAAATCAAAATTATCGATTTTTTCAAATTTGTATTGATTATTGATAGACAGAAAAATATCAACGATACATCGATATTGTCTCTATCAATGACAGCTCTAATTGTAGGTTTATAGAATTTTATTATAACAAAACAAAAGTTATACATATAGTTACATACAACTGAATTATGAAGGATAAACCCATAACATTGTATTGATTAGGATCCACAAATAATTCTACTGCACAGTTTGAATCAACTAAGAGTACACTGCTTTTGTCATCTGTAAAAATATAATATAGTTTGAACTTTTCTTGATGTCTACAGATCTAACATGGGGATAATTCTGTTCAACACAATTGATTTATATAACCACATTGATAATGAACACTGTCTGTTAAAATTCCTTAATATATCAGTATAATAAATTTAACTTCCAGTCATTAAAATCAATTTTAACCTCTTTTTAAACTGACTGATTTTCACCTCTGGCAATTCATTAGCCTTGTTTATATCGTCTGAAATTTCAAGTTTCTCATTCAATTCTTTAGTAACCTTTTCTTTCAACATATTGTCATCTGTAGTGTTTTCCGGCTCATCATCAACTGCTGATGAAGTATCGGTTAATCTACAATTATTTTCCTTCTCAGCACTACAATTATCATCCACATGCTGAACATTTTCAGAATCATTTGTACAAGAACGTTCCTCCTGAAGTAATTGACTGTAGAGTTGGCGAGAAAATGTCAATAATTCAGTTTCATACTCGACAATATCACCAAGTAATGCTTGTAGAAGTTGTTCCTGATCTGATGACAGAGTTCCTTGTCTCAATAAATTGTATGACAGTTTACCACTGAAATGATAAAAATTTCACAATCATATTAAATGAAAACTTCGCTGAGGTCCAAAATCCTAATAAAATACTAGAACTGAGTCCAAAAGACACGGATGCCCCCACTGACAACATATATATGGTATATAGTGAAACAATCAACAAAGGGCCATAATTCTATTAAATTTGGTTGCAGCAAAATTTCCTTCCTTTACTACCATCTACACATTAAGGTTGTTCATCCCTGGAAGTTAAAGCAAAATCTGCCATCCGGTTTAAGAGGAGTTGTGTTCTGGTATATAGTGAAAAAATCAACAAAGGGCCATAATTCTATTAAATTTGGTCACAGCAAAAATTCCTTCCTTTACTACCATCTACACATTAAGGTTGTTCATCCCTGGAAGTTTAAGCAAAATCTGCCATCCGGTTTAAGAGGAGTTGCGTTCACAAAATTTCTATATGGTATATAGTGAAAAAATCAACAAAAGGGCAATAATTCTGTTAAATTTGGTTGCAGCAAAAATTCTTTCTTTTACTGCCATTTACACATTAAGGTTGTTCATCCCTGGAAGTCTAAGCAAAATCTGCCATCTGGTTTAAGAGGAGTTGCGTTCACAAAATTTCTATATGGTATATAGTGAAAAATCAACAAAGGGCCATAATTCTGTTAAATTTGGTCGCCGCAAAAATTCCTTCCTTTACTACCATCTACACATTAAGGTTATTCATCCCTGGAAGATTAAGCAAAATCTGCTATCTGGTTTAAGAGGAGTTGCGTTCACAAGATTTCGGGACGGATGGATGGACGGACAAGTGCAACGCTATATGCTCCCACTTTGTGGGGGCATAAAAATTTGAATGTCTCAAATAGATAAGCCATTTTGGCACTTAAAACAGAAAAATATCTAGAAATAAATTGAAAATCTTATGTTTGTGCTACTAATAGCACTATCTTGAGAAAAAAGCATTGTTAAAATGTTCTTAACATGAAACAAGCTCTATGTTTGAATGAAAGCCATGCCCATGGGGGACCTTGATTCTTGTAACCTTGACTTTTGGCCCTATGACCTTTAAATGGGTTAGCAGGGAAATTGCAGATAATATCATTTTGTCTTTTGGTTGGGTTTAACGTTGTACCAACACAGTATAAGTCATATGATGACTTTCCAGCTTAACTGGTGGAGGAAGTCCTCAGGTGCCTTCTGGTTGAGGAAGACCTTAGGTGCCCTTTTGTGCATTATTTCAGGCATGAACAGACACAAGAGTAGCTGTTTAGCTTCCTCACATGAAAGAATCCATATTCCCTGTAGGGCTTTGAAACCCACATTAAAAGTCCCTGTCGGGATTCGAACCCACAGCGGAGAGGGGCAAGTGGTTCGAAGTCAACGACTCTAACCACTCAGCCAAGGACGCCCCTCAACAATCTTAACCACTTGGCCACAGACACCCCTAAAGATCATTAACGTGCATGCACATGTGAAGTTTGATGTCTGTAGGTGAAAGTACTTCCGTGCCAAGGTCAAGGATAAATTCAAGATTGATTTGTGAACATGAAAAGTAGGGAAGTTCTTAATGGTCCTGTCTAAAAGCATGCTTGTGTCTAAAACAATGCACAATGGTCGTCCTCTATCAGAAAAGTCCGAAAGGTTACTGGTTTTCAGGTCAGTGATTTTATTCCTACATTTTACAGCCGAATGAAGGCTGTTTCCCCTAGCCCAAAATAAGTATATTTTCCCCTTAAATACCCTGTGCACTTTTTCACAAGTAACATGAGTTAACAGCATCCGACATGTATCAGAAACCTGTCCCTAAAGATAGCCTCTGCTATGTACTGTACCATGCATGTAAAATTGAACTGAATAAATGTGTGGGTAAATTCCATTCTCAGATGTCTGAATTTGATTTCAGATTTCCCCCGTTTTCTGATTTCTGGTGCTATATTTTCCCCTTCAGAAAGCCACAGGTTGTTTTTAAAATTGGAAAAGAAATCGCTGCAGGTGAGTAATGTCAATGATTAAATTTAAGAACGAAAACGTACCTCACAAGTCCTCTAATTTCTGCAACTGAAAAGAGTAGTTGTGAGGACACCTTAAATGTTGTGTTAAATCCTTCCTGCAAACTTTCTTCCTGACCAACATCGATACCAGCTCTATATCCATCCTGAAAATAAACATTCTAAAGTAGAATTTCAAACATTGTGTCAGAAGATTTATAAATATCACAATATAATTATATATTATTATCATTGGTAACATCATTTTCATGTATTTAATAATTTACAATATATTGTTTCCTTTAAAGCAACTACTCTCACAAAAAAACCTGTCGAAAAACATTGACATATTTGCTTTCATTTATTTAATATGCAAAGAAGTCAAATTTGCAGGAGATATTTGTGATCCCTTTTTAAATTTTTGGTAGGGTTTTACCTGGCACACCAACAAAGTATACATTAGGTCATATAGTGACTTTCTAGCTTCACTGGTTGAGGAATAAGTGTGACCTTACAGTTATTTTGCTTCAAATATCTATCTTCACATTCCAGTTACTGCCAATCCCTTTATATGCAGGAAGATTGGAAATGTAAATAATCAATGCACAAGTATATTGCAAGTTTAGACCCACTCTCCCAAAGGGACATAACTTGGATAAATGAGTTGTTTAAACTAATAAACATGTGCTATACATCTATTCCCAACTAGCAATACAGCATTTAATCCACTATCATACAGTACATGCACATACATGTATACTTGACATCAATCAATTACAAGAGGTGCAATTTACATTTTTTTATAGACAGGTGCTTTGTTTGATTGAGACAAATATCAATCAGGAATTCAATCTCTTATATTTGGAATCTAGTCCAACTAATTCTACTACACGATGAGATGAGATGTTGTGCTTATTTGTGTACTGGTTTCCTAGTAGTTTTCGGCCACAAATCGCACTTTTTAACAAATAAAATAAAAATCAGTCTACGGAGGGGTACAAAACTTTGACAGGACAAAGTTAGGTACCTGTCCAGCATTGCCATGTGTTTAATGTTGCACTTCCATTTTACTTCTTAATTTGAATAAAGGCCTGAAATGTAACACCTTTTTCACCTTTATTAAAAAATTCATAGCAGTTTTCTGGACCTTTTTTATTTTGAATATAGTTCAGTACCATAAAGTAATGTTAAGATGGTTTTATCAGACAAACAGAACTTCCCAACCTTTTTGGTGTTGTGTGCAAAAATATTTTCCAAGGTATTTATGTACCCAGAATGGGGTCTTAGTTATTGTGTATGGATATATTCAAACTAGAATTCCCCAGGTGTTGCTTATTTTTGAAAGCTGCAAGTTCTCTTATCATTATGTAACTTTAAATAACAGGCAAAACTTCAAAACATATATAAATTGTTGTACTATTTAAATGCTGTTTTAAACTTTAGCATAGAAAACAAATGTCTCTCTGACTGATGAAGTAATGTGGACGCCTTACTGGTAAAATAGATTGTACTGGACGGAAATGATAAAAGGCTGGAAAACTGCTTGAGGACGGAAACTGCTAGGAAACCAGTATGGGCAATATATCCCCTCTAAGCGAAATTTATACTATATAGGGGGTATTTTTGGATATTGTCGTTAATTAATAATGGTTATTTGATAAGAATTTCAAGTTCCTGTGTCATAATCTACCTTTGGTTTGACTAATTCTGAATCAGAATCAAGGTCAAAATGTCTTGGTCTTAATGAATCCTGCCTTGTTATCATATGTATGCAAAGTTTTGTATAAGCAGGAATACTTCCAAGTCGTTTAGTATGACTAGCCAGGACGCATTGTATTGTCTAGCCGTATGGCACTGTTCAAAATTATATGGAAGTATAAAATGCATATGTTATTTTGTGTCTTTAAACAAGGATTTTAATCAAGTCTACGCATTTGTCCTCGTGTGGATGCTCCACTATTTGTAAAAAAAAAGAATACAAACAAGCGTTGTATAATCTATCTTGATAAAAGTGTCAAAGTACGCCTAGAACTTTTGCCTAGCCGTACACTTCCTTTTATTTTATGATAATGAAATTTTTTATTTATTCTGGCACACCATATGTAGCATCTAGATTGATTACTTATACAATTGAATAATAATATTTTTGAGTATACTGTACAGTACATTGTAAGAATACTTTATGAAGAAACTGGCATTGATCATTAAGTTTACAACTGCCTATCTGGTGTTGCGCAATATCAATCACGTTGAAAAAGAGTCGCGAAAATTAGTGATATTATTGAAAAAAATATTTAAAAGTGACTATATCCGAAATGCACCATGTAAGAAGCCAACCTTATTGATCCCATCGACAGTTTTCTTCCAGTTCTTTTCTAAAATATATTTCTCTGCATCATCATCCTCAAAATCGTCACACATTTTGTTTGTTTGTTGTTGTTGTTTGTGGTCAGACTCGTACATTAAGGTCAGACACTTACATTGAGTTTCCCATTGACTTACATCCCTAATCGATCCTACCATAAAATTGTGTTTCTATAGTAAAGATATCAGAATTAAATGCCTGGCACATTAAAACGATCCTCTTATATAGGGGTAGCCAACCAAATGTTTGGTAGAATGACCTCAAAGAGGATTACCCTCCCCCTTTTTCATTGAATTTTTCTGCTGAAAAAAAAAAATTCTGCAGGACTGTCGACATACAATTTTTTATAAATACAAATATCCAAGTCTCCAATTATAACAGAGACTTATGAAATATTTCATTTTATTCAGTAAACTATATAGTGTTAATTTCAAAATTAGTTTTCTTATATGGCAATAAAAACCACGGTGATAAGTCAGAAAAAACAGTGACGCTCACAAGCAACGGTGACAAACCTTTAAGAGAGTACTCATGGCAATTAACCCACGGTGATAGCCTCAGGAAATACAGTGACGCTCACATAATCCACGGTGATAGGCCTTTTAAAATTTTTTTTTTTTTTGCAATTTAAAACAAACGTTGATAGCCTCAGGGAATACAGTGTTGCTCACACAATCCACGGTGACAGACCTTTAAGTGGGGGTTTTATGGCAATAAAACCCACGATGATAGAATCAGGGAATACAGTGACGATCACAAACCCACGATGATAGGCCTTTCATAGGATTCACATGGTAATACAACCAACGGCGATAGCCTCAGGGAATACAGTGACTCTTACACAGCCCAGTGTGACATGCTTTTTAGAAAGTTCTAATGGCAATCATTCCGACGGAAATAGGCCTAGCTCAGCGAATACAATGACCCTCACAAAACCCACCGATTGTGTAAGGCTTAATAGTTCTTATGGCAATTAAATCCACGGTGATAGCGTCAGGGGCGACAGTGACGCTCACACGACCCTATAAGATAGGCCACTTAGAGGGTTCTCATGGTAATTAAACATACCTTGATAGTTTCAGGGAATAGAGTGACGCTCACACAACTCACGGTGATAGGCTTTTTAGACGGTTCTTATTGCAATAAACCCACACTGATAGCCTCAGGGAATACAGTGACGCTCACACAACCCACGGTGATAGGCTTTGAAAAGGGTTCTTATGGCAAACAAAACCAAGGGTGATGAAACCATTTAATACAGTAACACTCACCAAATGGTGTTTATATTTCTGGCTCGAGAAAAATGTTTTTTTTTTCGAAAATGTATATACTTTATATAAGTTATTATGTAAAAAACAAATCGCAGATCCATAAAAACGACCATGCCACGCTGAAATCTCCCGGACATATTGCTTGGGCTAGGGCTTTGAACATTACCTTATGTAAAGAAAACCATCCAAACTAGTGCAAAAACGAATCTTCAACGAAAACAGTCAAATATATAGCACTTGATTAAACGGCTGGCTTGAGAAAATAATGTTGTTGTTTTTTTAAATGTATATACACTTAATATATGTAAAGAAAAAGCTCGTAGGTTAGGAAAACGACCATGCCGACAACTGGTGTTTAAACGGTAGACTGTAGAATATAGTGTTTTGTACTGAAATTTCTTAGACTTTCTATACTTACAGACCTAACCTCTGTTCCAAAAAGCGAACATATTTTACGCGGGTCTTTCGCTTTCATGTGCCTTAATTGTATTGCTGTTAACTATATCCTCTAAGCCATCACAATCTACTTGATAATTCCACTTTTTGTTTCAGAATGTAGCGGGGTTTTTTTTACAATAGCTAGCTGTGCTTGTCGTGAATTCCTGTAATAACGTGCTTTAAAGCGCGTTCTGTCTAACAATACTAAATTACATTCGTATGAAGATGTGATCGATCAAAAAATGTAAAATACAATTTCAGGAGGGTTTTCTGTCCATGACGTAACTTTGTAAATTTTCAGTTGATCTACGTTTACATCGAAAGCAGCAAATTGCCTGTCCAAAAATGGCCATGTCATGCGGAAAGCTCCCGTACATATTGTTTGAGTTAGGGCTTTGGTCTTTTTGTGCAAGGAATACCCTCCAAAGTTGGACAAAATCGAATTTGCAACATGATCAGATAAATGTTGTTTAAACTGTTGGCTCTAGAAGATGGTGGGTTTTTTTTACGAAAATTTATGCACTTTATATAGAGAAAGAACAAAACTCTTTTCCAAAAAATGACCATGCCACGCGAAAATCTCCCGGACATATTGTTTGGGTTATGGCGTTGATCGTCATTTCGTGCAAAGAAGACCCACCCTCCAAAGATGTTAAAATCGAATATGCAACGGAATCAGACAAATGGTGTTTAAACGGGTACGTAGGGCTCAGTTTACAATGGCTAGCTGGTCATTTCTACCAAATTTGGGCATTTAAGACGGGACAAAACATTGGAACAAATAAGCAGTTTTTGTTTTATTATCTATATTAAGACTAACTAGCAACTCTCTTGAAACAAACTGTAGCTGATGCATAATTTTCATTAGTAAGTGTAAGAAATATCCAAAGGTAACAAGATTTGTCATTAATTACCACAACGATCTGAAAAGGCCTTTATTTTTTTAATTGCAATATAATTATTTCGTTTCAAACAACGATTAAGTGCAAAACACTTGAAAAGAAAATAGCTTTTGATAGATATACCAAAAATAAAATGTCTATAAATCTTTTTTTAATAAACTTGAAAAAATTAATACAATTTTTTTTATAAACAGTGTGGTAATGTTATAATATTTAAAAGAATCGTCTCTGTTTGTTTCTACTATTTCAGTAAATGGATAAATTATACCACACCAGTGAAATATACCTTCATCATATCAACCATTTATACGACTAAAATTATGTTAAAAGAGGAAAAAATGCATGTTGCGGTAATGATTTGTTGTTACGGAAATGACAAGTCTGTTACGGTAATGACTGAAGTAAAGACAACATTTTTTTCATTTTTGCATTTTATTTTTATCACATCACAACTGTGAGAAAAGTGAATAAACTTTTAAAAGAAATTATTTTAGTTATTTTTCTTTTCTGTTTTTTTTTCTCATTTCATTCAACAATTACTATTCTTACCATATCATATCTATTTTAAATGATATCAACTTCATGTACCAATAATTATGAGGTTATTATATATTGTTGAGTCCTAGCCGAGTCTTATAAAAAGAATAAGTATCGTTCTCAACGATATAAGGATTTGATATGTTGTTTTCTTTTCAATCTGAAAATTAAAATGAAGCTATGCATTAGATATAAACATACTTCGAATGAAGCTATATTGATAAGATTGTGGTTCTACATGAATTGGTGGAAACGCTGAAAGTTTACCAATTATATGTCATAGCATGTGAAATAAACACTTAATGGTAGTCATGCAATAGTCATGGATTGTTCATATTCACACATGTTAACATTTCATTATTATAAATATTGTCATATTATTATAAATTTCTACAGCAAGGCAACAAAATAACTATTCATTGTCCATTTCTTCTGTAATGGCATCCCATACAACTTGGTCAATTTGACAATGTCTCTTTGTAACATTTCGTGGCTCACCGTCAAGCAATAACACAACTTGATTTTTCTGGTACCAGAGTCTGTCTTAGAGTAATGGCCAGAAAAATCGGTTGACCTCTATGCGGTTCATAACTTCCAATTCATTATCATCTACATCTAAGATGACGCCTAGCTGGATAAGGCAAGCGGTCATACTCAACTACACATTATCCTCCAATTAAAGATTCATCAACCTCTAATACTTTAACAAGAACTGTGTCCTACAATATAGTGTACAGAAATCAACTCCAGCAGTTTCAATTTTAAAAATGCATTGTTTGATTTGAAAAAATATGCAACGTTGATTCTTAAATATATGTAATTCAAAATGATATTCATTATTTGATAAAATATTGACAATTTCTACTCTATAATTAAGAAGCAAAGAATGTTTAGCATTAAATATCATTGTACTTTTACATAATTACAGAATCTATGCTAATATTAAGGATCGTATTGTGCGTTTTATTAAACTTAAGTCATGTAATATAAACCTGATATTCAGAAACGTACATTTGTAACCATTGTAGGGGACACCATGTTCTGCCATCATAATATTGTGTAATAATTTTATGTAAGACTTATAAATAAAATTCAGATGCTAAACAAGTTTGACCATGGGGAGTATGCACACTTTCTCCTATACTTTGCAACATGTTGTAATAAGTACTAACAAAATTATTACAAATTTATAAATAGACATTCTTCAAGCTGTGTGCAATATTTTAATAAGCCTATTATCATCATCTTATAATATCAACAGCTCTTTGCTGGTTAATTCAAACATATTTCAGGAACTAACATAAATGTTCTTTTAACACTTGAAAGAATAAAAATGTTGGTGACATCTCACTATGTATACATTTTTACCTGCAGACTCTCTTTTTCTCCATGTTTGTTCATGTTTACAAAGCTAGTCTTAACTGGATTATAGCAGTCACAATCATTCCAACTGCAAAAAACAGCTCGGGGGACGGGAGTAGATAGTATATGGCTTTGTATCAACAATCTGATTAAAACAAAGTATACAGTGAATTTTTTTTAAAACTAGAAAATTAATAATAGAGAGTTGATACAGCTTTTAGTAATTTACACAACTGCATAAAAAGGCACCTTTAAAACCCAAACTTTTGAAGAAATGTTTATGAACGAAAAGATTCATTAGCGTTATTTCTGCATAAAATGAATTTGCGATTGTCATTAGTGTATCCCAAAAAATATTTATTTTTCGTCTTGCATTCTGGTTGTGAGCGTGATATGAGTTTTTTTTTATTTTGATGTTAAAAGTATCGGGTTATCATCAGGTACTACTGCAGTAAGCTTTTACATGGCACCTTTACCAAGAAAATTTTAAAAAGACGTGCAATAATAACAGCTCGTGTTAATTTTATAATCCATCAATTACGATTTCTCCTTTATGTACCTACGCATGCAGAGTTTTATACAAAATATTGTTTGAAAACATATACA